TAAGATTTATGAAGTTGATCTTTTTTTTTTTTTTTTTGAAGTTCCGTTGAACATCAATCATTTAAAATATAACATTTATAAAACCACGGCAATCTTTATAAAACCACGAGATTTTTTCGGTTATTCTCCGTGGGTGATGATCAGGTAAACTTCCTACTTATTTAAATAACTGACAGCAATATTGATTTTGTTTTAAAGGAATGGCTTTGCGTGTCGGTTCAAAAAGACATATACGCCAGGTTTAAGAAAAATAAATTAAAACACTCAAACGATCAGTTTAAAGAATAGGTTTATCGTATCAACCAGCTTAAAAGACATTTTGTTTTGATTTCTATGGTTACGGGAGCAGTGATAATATAGAATTTGCGTCAAATCCAAATGCACGATGTTAATGTTTCAATTAAAATCAGCAGTGGGGAATATCTGCATGTAATATCTGTAAGGCAAACAACCCGTAAAGAACTATGTTGTTGTGTTTTAGTTTTATTTTTTAGTTCTATTTACTAAAATAGTCTCATTGATTGGGCCACGTGTAAGATATTTTTCGCGATCATTTTGAAACGGTTAAATATTTTGGGCTGAACTTTCAGACGTGGTAAATATGCTTTCTTTTCATACTGCATACATAAACGACTTTTATCAGTTAAAAATTTAGATCTGGATCTTCCAGACCAGGTAGGTAAAAATGTTTTTACTTCACATTGTATACACGAACTAACTCTTGTGGGAAGCACAGTGAAGAATTCCCCATTAAACATTTATACGTAGGCAAAAAACATAATTTAGTTATTTTCCAATCTGCCAATAGAAAGCAGGACGCCGACACAATAAAAACGTGACTTGTCTCAAAATTCAGGTGACAACAACAATCGACATAAGAAGTAGAATGGCTTTTTATAGATGTCCATGTATTGACATCGTGAATACTTGATCGACAGTTACTCAGACATATCTATAAAACATTGATCATAATAAAAAAGCATCAGGTGGCAGAGAAATAATCATACTTACAGCGAAAGAAAAGAATCATAGCCCCCACCACCCCATTTAACAACACTAAAAGAAATTTATTTCTCATGGGAAAAGCAAAATAGGGCTTCTGGGGTTCTTTTTTACAATGTTCGACAACATCAACTATATCCCCATAATCACGACTGTTTTCAAATTTCGTAAAAATCGGACTGACACTTTCCGTCAAAATGGCCGCTCCCCTTTATGGAAATGGTTTGAAAACAAGTAATACGTATACCAAGATGAGACTTACATATGTGTTAAGGATCAAATGTTCTATGATGGGTTCGATTTTGGTGTGCATCGGAACTTCCGTGTCGGAGTTGTGGCCCCGGTTAAGGATGAGTTTGATTTTAGTGCGCATGGGACCTTCCGTTCTGCGGCTAGGCCCATTTTCCGGAAAACTTTTTAAATGCGACACTGGCTATAATATAATTTTTCAACAGTATGAAGCATTGAGGTCATGAGTGGATGAACGAAATAGCGATCGTAGAAAAAGATGGCGTGACGTCACGCACACTTGATCCGGGCAACTTCCAGTGGCAGTGGTACAGATGCCGGTACAGGGATACGTTATTTTTGATAATATTTCTATTTCTAAACAAAAACAGTTGATTAAAATGGTTCGTCAAACGTGTGATATAGGTGATTTTAAGGTAAAAACATAAAAACATTCAGAAGGTGTTAAATTTTTCTATCTTCAGAACTTAAAAGATGATATTAAAAAGGCATGGAAACGAAAAGTCTTGGAAATAAGGAAACGCCAAAATGTGCTCGGTGATCATGTTGCAATTTGTAATAGACATTTTCTTGACGGAGACAAAAGAAAATTTGCCAACAATAATTCTACGAATAGTAAATGGAGACGTTATTTGGCCAAACCATATCCCAAGTCTGTACCAGCATCTGTACCGCTGGAAGTTGCCCGGATCGTGAATGCGATAGGGGTGACAGTTTTTAACAGATCTTTTTTTCATATTTCGTGTTAAGCATTGAGTTCATGACAGGACGAAGCTTATCGATTTTGCAACCTCCCGTTCCGGAGATACCCCTTTTGCCAAAAGCGAGAGAGGAGCTACAGTATTGATTGAGTTTATTTCAAATTTGGTGTGTAGCATTGGGGTCATGGGAGGGCAAACCCTGTCGATATTCAGCGATATTTCCTAAAATCTTGTAAACGCGACGTGATGCATTGGGACAACGCAAAAACAAACCCTATAAGATTACCCCGTTATCCGTCCATCTATTTCAAACTGTTGGCTTATCTTGCATGGCAGGCAACCGCTTGTTAAAATCTAGCTATAAATTCATTTCAAAATAAAGGCAGTAGTTTTTAAAATTCTATCTATTCTATCATCACATGGTTTTATTATGTACTTCAATGATTGGCGGTCTTATTAAAGTAAAATGAAGACTCCTATTTATTCTTTAAATGGCATTTAGTAATTGGAACATAAAAAAAAAACACACTATTTATGGATAACAATTACTATGGTTTATTTCACTGCGACGTTTCAACAAGATTTCACAAGTCGTTAACAAGCATATAACACAAATAAATAAAATTTCGTTCGTTTCTAGAGTTTTACGTCCACTTTTTAAAGAGTATATATAGATATTATGTTATTACTGTCAGGACCTATTGCTCGTGGCTCATTATACCTCTTAAATAATTGTTTGATCTTTTATTCCTGTACTTATCTATACCTATTACAGTTTTAACCATCTATGTACATTTGTTTATTTAACGGTTTGGGAACTTTGCTCATGCTTGCTGATTTTGCATCCCATTGGAGGGTTCGCACTGCTGCTCTCGTGTGTGTGTGTGTATATATATATATATATATATATATATATATATATATATATATATATATATATATATATTATTTTCATTTTATTTACTTGTGTTATATGCTTGTTAACGACTTGTGAAATCTTGTTGAAACGTCGCAATGTAATAAACCATAGTTTCAAGTGTTAGTTAGTTCGAATTACTAACTGATACGTCTTTAATTAACAAAGTCAGACACCGCCTGTGGCATTATTTAGGCTACTGACGTTCTCTCTATACTTGCCTTTGAATTAACAACGTTTTAATGTATCGATTTATTTCACGTATTTACAGAATTCGAAGCTTGGATATTACAGCAAATGGTTGTGTTTGTAAACAGTGACTAACAGTTACCCTGATGACGAATCGGAGTCTTAATTTATTAAAAATGAAATGAATTGTAGTTCGGGTTCTGCATTTTTTAAAAACTATTTTAGTGCTAGATAATAAATATGATATAAATAATCTACTTAAACAGTATGTGTGTATAGAGCGACGAGATAGCTTATTAGTTTCCTACATCCTGTGTTTGAGATAAAGTTCGAGATCTCAATGAGGGGATGAAGTGGCATTGTTTTTACAAGTGCTGGTCATATCTCCTACTTACTACACTAACAAAATCACTGTTAAATCAGCCTTGTCGACGGTTCTTAATGTGTATATCACTGCAATTAGTTTTTCCATTTCCTGCTTGTCGGCCTAATAAATCCGAATATTGGAGGTTTCAGAAGTAGATTTGGGCTGATTTATCCTACACTAGGAAATCATTAACTTATTGAAATATTAAATTGGGCTGTAGCATGTCAGGATTATCCACTCCTCAATCTTAACCTAAATCTGCCATAGCGTTAACCCTATCGCCCACAACTTGTCCAAATATAAAGTTAAACGCGCCGAAATGTACCGGATACCGGAATTTATCGCAAAATGTGGAAAGAACATTGTCAAGGGAGAGGATATTGTCCCCTGTACCTTAATTTGACGCATTCCCGTGTTTAATTTCTACATTTGAATTCTGAACAACATGTCAACATCAGTCTGGCAATATACAATTTTACAGTGTTTCAGTACCACTTAACTTATCTTAACTTATAGTCATACATGATTAGATGAATTATAAGTTTGAGTCGTTCCCCGGGAATTCCTATAGTGTAAGATGTAGACTAAACTCAGTATAGATTTTGTTCGTGTAAGAGTCAAACACTGATCGTTGACGGTGTATCTTCTGAGAAGTAGCACCCCTGTTTAATCGTTGAAAACTGTAATCACGCGATAGATTCTTCTATCTTAAATTTCTATCGGATTATGCATACACGATACAAAGTGGGTTGGTGATAAAGCATTATTTGATGTTGCTTAAATAATTTGAGGCAGTTATCAAAAGTTTGGTGGAATTAGTTTCGGAAAAGTTGAATAAACAACTCTGTTGTGGACTCTGCTGGGCGTTGCTCAAATGTGAACTTCTACCAAGTAGCTTCGGCTTCTGAAAATGAATTCCAGAGTTTTGATTTTAGTCAAAGTGGGTAGGCGTGTAGTATCAAGACATGAGATACGTGTTGTACATGTTATACTCCGACTACTGGGCCCTTATTCACGAAAACTTAAACTAAGATACAATTGAAATTTTAAGAAATACTGCAATTCGTTTGGCTGACCAATATGCAAATTGGATATATGCAAATTGATTTTACTGGTCAGCCAATCGAATTGCAGTATTTCTTAAAATTTCGATTGTACCTTAGTTTTAGTTTTCGTGAATAAGGGCCCAGATTAACTTTTTGTATAATGTTTTAATTCTAGTAGGATTGATGTTACAGTAATAGTTCATTCTGTTAATGAATCAAATAACAGTTAGAAATTGTATTTCTTTTATATTTTCCAGGTACCCGAGTTGCTTTAATCTGTGAAAGATGATATTTGTAAATGTGTAAATAGATTGACGTGACTGTGATCTCTGTGCAGTGAAAAGACTATTACGAAACTAAATTGAAGTCAAGTATTCTGCCATCTGTAAACGACGATTATTTCTAATTCCAATATTTAAAATGGAATCAACAGTGTGTGTGGGAGTAGTTCTGAATTCAAGGATATTTTTGGAAAAATATCCGTGCATTTTGTCTCAGTGACTGTATTTTGATGTGCTCAATCAACCGCAGTCTGTGTTACTGGAACAGAAACTACCAATAAGAAATTATTTCATATCAGATTTGTAAAAGAATTTGAAATATTATTCCTGGTTTAGTTGCTCAATATAACTCTACCTCCATTATAATAATGGCGGCTAACGACACCTTTCAGTATTCTCTGGACAGAGACGTGGTGTACGTATCAATCCGCTCAATTCAAAAATTTCTTATCCCAGTGGTGTGTTTCCTGGGATCGACGGGAAACATTCTTGCGGCATGCACATTCCTAGCTCGAACTTTGAGAGACAAATCGTGCTGTCTGTACCTGGCGGCAAAATGCCTCTCAGATACAATGTTCTTAATTAGTTTATTTCTCGTGTGGTTAGATCGAGTTGACGTGCCTGCCTTCCATTTACATGGATTTTGTCAGATCATCATCTTTGTGACTTACATATGTGGATTTTTATCAGTTTGGTTTGTTGTGTTCATCACGGCCGAAAATTATATCAGAGTGTCCTGTCCTGGTCGGGTGTCTCAGTTATGTACACCTGAAAAAGCTAAGACCGCCATTCTTATATTAGTTATCATATCTATTTTTGTTTACCATTTTCCATTATGGACAACCGGAATTGTTCTCAATAACGGAACGGCCGGGCAGTGTTCTCTACTAGCGAAATACAACGTAGTTAATCAAGGTCTCACCTACGCGGACACCGTGCTCACGTTAGCTTTACCTTCAGTGCTCATCATCTTCCTTGTTGTCGCCATTTTGTGTCACCTTTATGAAGCCTTTAAAAGACAGATAAGATTACGACGCCTGGGGCGTCATCCGAGAAGATCGTTTCTCAATAAATCGCCACACGGAAGAATCACGAAAATGCTGTTTGCAGTTTCTACAGTATTTATCTTATTCCACACCCCGAGTCACGCGATCCGACTAAGACTTTTGATACTTCAGTTCCTCAATAAGGACATAAACCCCGTGGAAGAATTTAAATTACAGCGAATATTCGAACTACTTTATTATGTTAACTTCTCAACGAATTGTGTCATTTATCTTATTTTCGGAAAATCATTTCGACAAGTCTTCAAACAGATTTACTGTAAACCGCAACCATGTTGTGCTAAACAAAAAACGAGCCCGCAACAGCGAAGATTCAGCAGCCTTTTTCAGTCTGAAAACTTGGCGGAGAAGGAAACGGAAACAATCTGCCTTCATTCAGTGGATGATGTTTGGGAGAAAAGAAACTCAGCGACATCAACAAGTGACAAGTGATAGCGATATATACGATTTACGAATTCCATGAAAAGTGCTTCTTCAACAACGCCGGTGAAATGGTCATTGATTTCAACACTGGTTTAATAACATTTTAACATTTTAAAGTACTTTTTGTCCTTCTTGGGGTTATTCCTAAATAATATTCAGTATTGACGGGAAAGTTACTTGAGAAATAATGGTCAGTAACCCAATGGATGTGTGATACCCGAGAAAGAATGACTTAAGTTTAATTGATCTTCTTTTTTTTCTGAAAGAAATGAAGAAGTGAAATCTGTTCATATACACAAACTTACAAAAAAGTTGTTTTACAATTAATGGCGTATTTCAAATTAGGACCTACGCATGTTTAGGATGATGATCATTGGTATTATATTTGACATTTTTGTCTAACGACTAGTTTACTATGCCCGGTTATAAGGGCTAGTTAGTTTAATTGGAATTAGATCTTGTCTCGAGTTCACAAAGCATTCTCAGACTTTAGTTAAGAATTTAATCAATATTGTTCGCCTTATTTTATCTAAAACATAGTCCCTTATAATACTTTTGTTGTTTTAATGTATCAAATACTTCAGTAAGAAACTATGTGCAAAGTTTTGTGTTTCTGGACCAAAGATATTTCTCATAAACAGTGATTGAAAGTTGAGTAAATTCTTAACTTAAACATGCATTATGCAAGAGCTAACTCTGCCTATTGTTGGTCTTTCTTTAGGCCGGAAATGTTTTCTAAATTATTAATTAGACATTAATTAACTTATCCAAGCCATAATGAACTCTCGATGGCATCGGATTTCTCCGATATTAAATAGATTAGAACAGCCATATTTTGATTTATGCTCAAAATGGAGGAGCGAGACTTAGCTACGCACAACCAGTGCGGCGGTTGAAATTATTGCAAACGTCTTGTCAAACTTCCAAAGGCTAATATCTTCGCTCGCAATAGGGTAATTTGAATGAAATTTTCAAATTATTCATTTCACATTAACTATTTTCGAACTATTATAGCAACAATGGCTAGCTCTTTATCTATATCTTACATGATGTATCTTTAAGTCTGAGAATACTTTGTGAACTTGAGGCCAGGCTTTCATTTCAGTTCTTTGACATTTCATCTATGTCGTTTACCTTCAAGCTACAATAAGGTCTAACGATATGTTAATGGAACAGGCGTATTCAGTTTGTCCACGTGGCAAAATGGTAGATTATAAAAAAAATTGTCCTATGCTTCGTTTGTGAATATCCAGTATTCCTGCTCTCTAAACGTGAAAAATCAAATAACGATTGTACAGCAAGAAGTCATTAAGTCGAAACAGGCAGTCTTTAAGAGTGATTTTAGATTCTATGCAGTGTAGGCGAACGAAATAAAGATATAACTGGTTGGTGGGCGGATGCAAAGCAAACATTTTGTTTTTAATACTTAAACTTAGCTCAAGAGTCTATATATACATGTACATGAGTGATTGTGTCTCAGACAATATTTGCTCAAACTTGATTTACAAAATTGTTTCACCGGTAATGACTTGTAGTCTGCTATTTTTGTGTACCTCGCAGGTCCCTTTATTAACGATATTCCAAAACAATGTATTGCGTATATTAAATTAGACTTGTGTTCAGTAGACGTGGAAATCCAAAGTTTGTCTTCGTCGGTTATATTTTTGTACAAATATATAATTAAAACAATAAATAAATGATGCTCACCCTCTGAAAAACGGCCCAAAACCATCGTTCTACCCATTGAACACGGCAATGATGTGTTGTTCCCATTATTTGACGAGAAGTAAATCGATAGAGGTGTGGAAATATTTTATACGCCAATTTTTCAGTGTGGTCGTTATATGCCGTCACCCTGTGCGTAGGTCGGTCTCGTTCGTCCTTCTATTATACCCACTTTTGAGCGCGATCGTTTTCAAATTTGATGGGCAGCATTTGAGTCATGAGAGGATAAACTTCGGCGAACTGTGGCCTTTCATTCCAGAGTTACGCACCTTTTTTAAAAAACCATATGAACACGAAATAGGGCTACAGTTTTTCATGGGTTTGTTTTAAATATGATATGGATAATTGGAGTCATGAGGACGAACCCTATTAATATTCAATGGTTAGCAATTGCAATATTAACATTTAACAATTAAAGTATTAACATTTAAAGATGCCTTATATACGAGCTAAACATGACAACCCTCTAGATCTTCACAAAGCAGGGAATTAAATAGATTACACAGATTGAGATTTAAAAGTTTAACGATAAAATGGATAATCGAGACTTTGTCATTATCTATTTTTGAACTAATTTGGCAAGAAGGGCCAGCTCTTTTCCGAAATCTTACATGATGCATCTTTAATAATTGTCATGTTAATATTTAACAATTATCATGTTAACGTTTAACAATTATCATGTTAACGTTTAACAATTATCATGTTAACGTTTAACAATTATCATGTTAACGTTTAATAATTGGCATGTTAATATTTAACAATTATCATGTTAACGTTTAACAATTATCATGTTAACGTTTAACAATTATCATGTTAACGTTTAACAATTATCATGTTAACGTTTGATAATTATCATGCTATTCTTAAACAATTATGTTAACGTTTAATAATGATCATTTTAATACATGTATTAAATAATTATCAAGTAATCTTACTAAAAAAGCACACTGATCCAAATAAAATAAAGTCGATTAATCCTGCAAAAGCTAAGGTCCTTTAAAGTTCGGATTACTTTCTAATAAGTTCTTGTCACCATCTTAATTTGTTTGTTTTAACCGTCTGTCGAGTTTTGAACAGTAACAAATTTTTGTCCACGGCTGTGGTGGTATTCATTTGAAGCAGGCATGTTTTGCTGTAGCGAATTGGAATAACACATAATGTCCAACAGGATGGACACTTTACATTTAGCTCCATCCCTTAAAGTGGCCTATATATAATCAATTAGTACCGGTTATGTTGTATATAAACATATCGGGTGTCGAATTAAAATATTTATTGTTTTGGTGTGGGTTTTTTTGCTCAAATTTACACGCTCTTGTTTTTCATTTATAAGACTTTTTAGCAAAGACATTTTGCTCATTATTTGAATTTATTTTAAAATACCAGATATATTAGTCCTTAGAACAAGGTAAACCAACGTTGCAAAGTACGTAACATCCATTGCAAGCAGTATTTCTGTTAATGCTAACACTTATTGCTTGGGCGACAATCCTCAATTTGTGTGTTATTGACTATTACAAGTGTTATAATTGTATGATATGTGTTTATTGTTAAAGTGTATGTAAATAACATAATGTGATATCTATATATACACATCATCAAAATCTTGCTCAATGTAAATATCTCTCTCTACAATCAATTAGTGTATTTTTCTTTTTCATATCAAATCAACATATAAGTATCTATAAAGCTCGTGTTAATAGCCTTATGCTTTCTAACATGGTAATTATGAATACATATGTTTAAATTAATGGTCCTTTTGTGCCCAGTGGCGGTATCAAATGGTGCTGAACAATTTGCTCAACGTATACAAATCTTTTGTTAAATTAGTTTGTTAATGATTATATAGAGCTTATATTGGCCATGTGACTATTTGTTTCATTGTTTACAAGCATGGTGAAGAGCATGGTTAAGAACAACTTATTATGCGATATAAGAATTATGAGCCCATATGTCAAATCAGTCTGTCCAGGGATATTTAAAGGTTTATCCATTAGTTTCTGTTACTATGACATATACTGCCTTCGCTCTGTCGACGAACACATATCTGGTTGCTCGAGACTATATATATCCGTTTCCGAACTACTTGTAGATTATGCAAATATCGAAACATCTTGTTGGAGAAGTCCTTTCTAGCACTAACCTGGACATCCCGTTAGCAGGAGTAACACTAATGATCGTTTACACCACCATGTTAATTATCAGCGATCACTTGTGACCAATGTCTTAGCACTGTGAACTTTATTGTTTGATAGAATAATTGTTTATTTATTGCGAACTTTATATCACTTTACGCCAACCATTTTATTCATCCTGTTCATAAGAGACGAGTCTTTAAAGATGCATAACCCTCAAATTTATTCACACGACAAACCTATAATCAACTATTTAGACCGTCGGATGGTTGGGATTATTTTGAACGGATTGAAAAACGATCGTCATTTAATAATTTAATTTAAAAATGGATAATCGAAACTTTTTCTATTTTCATGAAAACGGTAGCTTCTCTCAGAATGAAGTAATTTGACTGAAACTTCCGATAAATTCCTTTTGCATTATCTATTTTTAAACTGTACTCGTCAAAAAAAGTAGGGGATATTCAGAAACAATACAAAACTGCGGAAATGCACTGCTGTTTTTATTACAGGTAACCAGTGTATGTTAATAACAGGCCAATTGCCTACACGTGAACATAAACTGTTCATATGGGCGGCTTATTTGACGTTTTTTAATTTTTGTCTTAATAATGAGAAATAATTGCTCCACCAATCCAAAGACATTCAGCAATTCCTCGTGGTATGCTCCTAATCAACCGTCCAATCACGATTTGGGGCAATCTGGCCCACTCCTCTTACAGTGCCACGGCCAATTCTTGCAGTGTTGTCGGTTGACGTTGACGTCGACGAACACGTCTCCCGATCAAATTAAACGTAACACACTAAAGCAAAGATACGCTAAACAGTAAATCTTATACAAGAACCGATAGTAAAGCAAACATGGATAGATAAACCAGCACGCGGCAGTTTTCATCAACCCTTCCTTGAAGTGTCAAATTTGACAATGAACCCTTCCCACGTGCAAGGCGCTATTGCGTGTCGCATGTGCAGCGCGGTGGTTCTGTTAGGGCGATAAGTTCTTCATCTGTGAACATACTCTCAAAGCATGTCAAGTGTCCATGGCTATTTATCATATCACAACCTGCATAGGTATTTGCATTTCAATATTCCCTACTTGTTTTGAAGAGTAGCGCGAAATTACATAATGCATTAATAAAGATTTGATATTACATCAGATGACCTAATTTACTTTTAAAGAACCCCTATATTTTGCGATGGCGATTACAAGCG